CCAAAAGTACAAAAAAAGAAAACCTGAAGGCATGAAACAAATTTTCGGCACGAACAATTCTTTCCTTCTGCAGTTTATCATTTTCATCTCCAAACACTTTACATTTTTAAAAATGCTAGCTATTACTGAACCTTTGCAGTTCAGAAAGCAAAATCCGTAAAAAAAAAAAAAAAAAAAAAAAAAAAAAAAAAGAAAAAGAAGAAGGGGTTACTTAAAAATACAGTTTCTCAGTTGACGTTATTTTAAATACGGTTAATATTTTAGAGGAAAATATAGCGAAAAATACGAAAGATGAACAATATCGCGAAGAAGCTACTGCTTATTTTCCACTTGAAAGAAAATTAAAACGGGCTAACAAATTAGAGGGAAGAACAAGTAGAGGAGGAACAATATCATGCTGTATAAAACAAGCGTGAAAATTTAAAATATCTTAATATATATATATATATATATATATAATATATATATATGTATTGTAAATATTTCAAAAAATTACCACTCCTTTTCCAAATCATTATAAAATAAAATTAGTTAAGATTTTAAAGGAAGAAGCGAGCTGGATCGATGATACTACGTGGACGTTGCATGTTAAAAAATCGCCAATTATTAATTAAAACATTATTTTTTGAAAGCAGGAAAGATGAAAAATGAGGAACGCCTTCGCCAGGACTCGAACCACGGGCCTCTCGAATAAGCGCTGACTGACCACTACACTACGAACACATGCTAAGAAGGCGGGAGAAATACCTTATATACTCCCCCGTTTAAAGGGCGACTGGGGTTTTAGGGGATCCAATCGCCAAATCCAGGTGGTGAAGGCTAATCATTCACCACTTTTAGTTCGGACGCCACTTAAAGTCATTAGGTTATTTTTAAAGCAAGAGTGTTGAAAAATGAGTAACGCCCACGTCGGGAATCGAAACACGGATCTCTGGAATACGCGCCCATCGTGCAGACTACCACACTACGAATACATGCTAAGAAGTGTGGTTTAGGGTACCCAGCCGCCAAATCATGGGTGTGGAGAATCATTATCTACCACCCTTTTAGTTCGGGGGCCAGTGTAGAGACATTAGGTAATTTCGAAGCAGGAAAGATGAAAAATGAGCAACGCTTTTGCCGGGGCTCGAACCACGGGCCTCTCGAGTACTCGCCGAGCGTGCTGACCACTACACTTTGAAGGCATGCTAAAAAGGCAGGAGAAATATCTTATATGTTTTGTAAATTGTGGCGATTAAGGTTTTGGCTGATGACTCAGGTGGCTGCTTTAAAAAGGTCTAAACAAATCTCCGCTTTTACGTGACCTACGATTTTTGCGAATAGTATAGTTGCACATCTATTGGGAACTGAACAAGAAGTACTCACCAATATGTTAAGGAAAGGTCTTTCAAGGTGCATTTCAAGGTCAGTTAATGGATGGTATAAATGAAAAGTACTTTAGAGTCAATTTTTGCCTGCCTTTCTTGTACATGATTTATTTAAGTGGAAACAATTTTATTCCGCTCTCAATATTTCTAATTACAAAATATCATAAACTTAAATCCTAAGATTTTTCAAAACATGCAGTAAAGGAAGTATATATGCTCAGAGGACACTGACCAATGAAAGCATTATGACCACCTCTACAATATAAAAATGTGTTCATTGGAATGGCGTAAATGCACTGGGGAAGGTGGTAAAGCTATTTAATGGCTCATAAGGTTTCAGAGCTTAAGCCGCACGTGATCTCACTCACAAACCTGTTTCCACGAAATAAAATACAAACCTGTTTCCACGAAATAAAATACAAAGCTGTTCTTTAGACATTCTATAGAAAATTACGAAAGCATCTTCATTAAAAATAACATTATTATCTCCTTTAGGGATGCAGCTACTGAAAATTGGCAAACTCCTTTTTGTGCAAAGAAAAGGTACAATTTAGTACCTTCGCCATCCGAAAAGTGCTTCAATAAAAGCAATAAGCTATAGACATCCAAATGACTACGAGGAAGTAGAAGCTATCGACAACTCGTTCGCCTTACAATATCTGTGACCAAAGAGCGTCAGTCCAAGATTAAACGCGAAAATGGCGTGGAAGATATTCCGATATTCTGATATACATTGCCCTCCAAAAGCTAAGGAACAACATGTTTTTCAAGCTCATCATTACAAAAATGTCAGGAACGTTTAAATTCGTAGTTCATATGCATGACAGTAACGAAGGTTAAGAAAATATATGCTAAAACAATAGCCACCACTTTTATTTTATAGAAATGAATACTTAAATAGGATCTGAGAGAAAATGCAAAAACTGCAATTTTTGTTCACGAGTGTTGATCTTCAGTTTTTATTAGAGTTTCGTGGACAATATCCAGGAGAAGACGTTTGCCCGATTCGTTGAGATGACGAGCGATCGATAGATGGAAATGGGGATGTCCCAAGCTGGTGCTGCTAGACGTCTCAATGACTCTCGTAGTGTAGCCCACAGTCTTTAGAATCACTTTGAATCTGAAGACTCTGTGTCTAGAAGATATGTTCCAGGGAGACCTAGAGTTACAACACCTGCGGGAGATTATTATAGCTCTTTCGGCCCGAAGGAGGCGTAACATTACTATGCCTCAGCTCATGGCAGATCATTTAGTGGCAACAGGAACAAGAATCTCAGCTACTACCATGCGTAAACGCCTGCACAATACCAGTCTGTATGCAAGACAGACTGGTATTGTGCAGGCGTTTACAGCTGTTTGTGTCCCTTTTACCCGAGGATACAATTTTTTTTAATGAGGTGTCCGTTTACGTTGGGCAAGAGAACACGTCTCCTGGACCTGTAAACAATGGGTCCTGGATGTCTTATGATGGACAACAATGCGGGACCGCACTGACCTCGGGTTGCTGATGGTATGGAGCGGATGGAACGACCAGCTCAATCCCCAGACCTGAATCCGATAGAACATCTGTGGGACTACTTTGGGAGACAGTTTACTGCTTTAAATCCTCCTCCAAGGTAGTTAGATGAGCTTGAACAAGGATTACTCCGTTTCTGGTCATTGCTTCGCATTTCATTGATCGACAACTTAATTGACAGCACGGAAGTCAGTGCCACCAATGTATTGCAGCTAGGGTTGGAAAGATTCCTTATTTGAACCATTTTTGTAATGTTACCACCCCCTTTTCCTTCAAAAAAACTTTGATATACTGTTTCTCCACGACTAGATTTTGTCTGCCAAGAGTGCAACTTTTTGTTGGAATTCCTGTTTGTGTTGAACATTTGAAATATTCTGTGTCGCATTTATTAAAGTACTGTTTAAGAATGAACATGTCCTTTAAATTTCTTGTTTCTATGGTGCTTCATTCTCAAATTAGACACACAAAAACGTGCTATTCCTTAACTTTTGGAGGGCAGTGTATTTCCTTCGACTTTCCGATCTCTTAACTCACCGAGAACATTCTACTTAAAACATCTGAGGTGTCAAGGAACGCCAATCGTGTACGTTAGAAATCATCAATCATCTTTTCGTAATTAACGAGAACTGCGTGATTTTTGCTTTTAATTTCGATACAATCTTTCCCAAACACTTGAGGATCAGGAAAATTCAAGCCATGATAGGTGCAACTGCTTTGAACGCTTAGTTAGAGCATTACGGTAACATATTGCGGGGGGGGGAGGTCATAATGTTTGTGCTGATCAGCGTACATTCCTGGGTAGTAAATGTATTAAAAGAGTTTGCGGCGGACCACACAGAGATGATAAAATTATATGTGCAGTCTCCGCAAGTCATTGTTTGTAGGATATTACGACGTGTCACAGGACATAGTTCTGACATCACAGACGCAATAATTCTTTCCAGATATAACGAATGAGAGAATGTAAAATATTATTGAAAAATTTAGGAGGCGTGAATAATTCAGTCTGAAGATTTTTTTTTCATCGGAACAACACGTCAGAATGCCCCTGAACTTTCATCTAGAGAGACCCAGAGAATGCTCTTGAACTCTCAACTAGACAGATCCTCGTTATCACGATAAAATGGTAGAAAACAATTGCATTTATATTTCGATAAATTATTCTTATTTAAATCAATAAAGTAATAATAAATAAATACGACAGCGATCTAAATCTGAAAAACATGATCTTTAATAAGAAATAACACTTTAAAGATAGTTTCAAGACTTAGTCACATAATTTTATAAAGTAATTAGTTTCACAGTGAAATTTTTAGAGCATTTGTGTTACCCTTATGCAAAGCCGCATTTCAATTTAAAACCTGATGTGCCAAGTTAATAAAAATATTAGGTTTTACATACCTTTCGTCCGGAATGTGCAGTTAAAACATTTCAGAACTACTTTTTAAAATAATAAATTTATAGAAATCTAGTTAAAAGCAATTTTGGTCCCCCAGCGGCTGAGCGGTAAAGTCGCTGAACACTGGTACTTCAGTCCGAGGTTCGAATCCCACAAATGTGCTGGCTGAATGGGCGTTTTCGTGATTTTCCCCATGTGTACCCTGTATGCGAGCCAGTTTCCTTTAGAAAGTCTTTCACGAAGGCATCCATCTCCTTAAGCAGATAGCCCTCGAGGCTTTGTCATAATCACTTCAAGCAACCAACCTTAAAATATTTTTGTACTTTTAAAGACTGCAATTTAATAAGATTTTAACTTATCCATATGATATGCCATCAGTTATGTACTTGTGAACAATATGAACATGCGTCTATTAAATTATTGTTATTATTATTACTTTGAAAAACTTAAAATACTAAATAAAATTAAAGCAAATAATTACAAATGAGTGCCTTTAATTTTGTAAGTTTCAATTTAAAAATGTTTTAAAACGTTTTAAAAAGGCGTTAGTGAAATGCCCAGAATCTCATCATTTTACCTGATCACTAATGATGAAGATAATTAAACACGATTCTAGCAACAAGTGACTCTCTAGCCTTAATGGTTCAGATGATTTTGATTTCTTCTCCCTTTCTTCACGTCATATAAAAAATGTGAAAAGAAAGAACAGGTTTCTCTCATTTAGGAATGAAGTAAATTTTATTGTATAATACAAAATATAATTTTATTAACAAAATATCTGGCATCAGGTAATGACTGAAATAATATACATTACAACTGTCAGAAAGATGCAATTAAAATTAAATACTAGTGTAAACACGATTCTTAAAATTCATTAAAAGTTAAATAAACGTCCGCAGAATGGATTAAAATAATTTAGTAGTAAGATTTCGTGATTACATTAATGAAAAGAATTATACATAGAAATCAATTTATTCTGCTAAAAAATTTAGTAAACCCACCTTGTAAAGATTATGAACATGCCAATTGCATTCTGTAATTCGTATGAAACAACTACATCATTTCGTATTCATGAAAAAGGTTTTGCTCGTTAACAGAAAGAAAATGCTTGCGGTTTAGGGATAAAAGTACAACTTCAAGTTCAAGAAATTATTTATTTTAACTATTTCACAATACGTAGTACTTCATTAGCTTTCGCAAAAGAAAATAAAAAGTAGAAATGAAAATAAACATTTCTAAGTAGGGAAAAATAAGTGAGGTCATTTATTTATACATGTGAAAAATACAAAAGATGATACTATCTTAGAATTTAAAAATTTAGGAAAACTCAACTATTTTTAAGACGTTTTGGATAGAAGAGACTTAAGTTTTTAAACCCTGTTGCTCTTAAATTTTATTAAAATTAATATCAAAAGAAGGTGAAATTTTTCAATTTATCATGCAACTTGGTTCGAATATATGATTAAGTCTTTATCCTGAGATGCTCATTTTTTAAAATCATAAACAAATAACTTCCGCAAGCTCACATGCAAAGTATAATTTATCCTTTTACCTCTTTCATAGGTGGCCATTTAATAAGCCATGGAATGGTAAGTAAAGTGTATTATTGCTATTTTTATCTTAATGTGGGCCTTTATATTTCTGTGTATAAAAGCTGAGAAATTTTAGCTTAATGTTAGTTACTGAAATTTTAGGATCGGCTTCTATACGGGTTCAAAACGATTTACAAATAAGGCGATCACAATAAATAAATAAATAAATAAAATAAAAAAGACACTGTAGGCTAATAATTAAAAGATACATATTGTTATTTTTTAATCTAACCATAATATAGTAATTAACTTTCTCAATATCGGTATTCAGTTCTCTCCCAGCTCCATGTAAGTTCAGTTAAATGTCATCTTCCTCCATTTCACCATTAATATCGTAATTATTTATCTCATAGATATCAACTTCCGTTCCGTCCAAAGCAGTGCTGACGTAACACTTTCAGAATGAGTGGACGTTTTCGGATCTCTGGGCTTTTTTCGAACAGATGAGGAATTGTCATTCACTTTAGTAATGTTAAATAACCAATTATTGACTTTTTTGTGATATATTCTTGCGATATGGGTGATTTTAAGTTTCGTTTACACTTACTTTCAACTTTCCTTGGAATTTTACAAAAGATTTTACCTCTCGGCTTATACATGGGTACGGCTTATACTTAATATTTGGAAATAAACAGTAGTTGTTTTCATATTTTTCTCTTTTAATGTGTACTGCACAAATATACGGCAGGTAGACAAGCACAGTTCACATTCAGAATTCCGATAATATGTAACTGAAAACTGGTAGTGGTGAATTCCCTGGCTCACATGAGCACTTATCTTGCGTTGGGTAACTTGTATAAATATAACATTTTAAGCCTGAAAGTTTAAGTATTTTATGTAGAAACTTTGTACACAAAATTGTTTTTAGTTTTGTTATGCGAGCAATCTTATATTTGGTTACGATGTTCTATCAGCAAAACATTCAGGAAACCTACGAGTATTTGAAGCAAATGAGCAAACAAACAAACAAAAATATCATATTATTGATACTAATTTCCTGCCGCTTTAAAAATATAATAGTCTTAGTTTTATGTTAATGTATATTTGGAGATAATTTTACCTATGCCTTCAACATATTGAAAGTTTATGTATTTTATGCAGCACCTAATACCGAATTTTAAGTCTTATATCCGAACCAATACAGTGAATAAAAACATATGTGAGAATAGATATATTTGATAACATAATACTGTACACTTATAGAATCAATATTCAGCAAGCATTTTAATATAGAAAAATTAGTCATAATTTTTTTCAAATTATGACTAAGTAGATTTAAATTATTGAATGATAACAAATACATATAGCCAAGCAATTAAAAATATAGGAAATATATTTTGCATACATTGAATACAAAATTTAGAAGATCATGAAAATTATTCCTGTAAGTATCAATTCTGTATATTCAGCGTTTGCAGTCCTATATTCATAAATAATACAATTTTGTAGCAGTATTTTATAATTTTCTGCTCTTAAATGTACATAACATAAATAATGTAAGAATACAGTGCGTATTTAATTTAGTTTAAACTAGAATTTTTTACTGTTTTCTACTCTAGATTGTAGTTAAAAATTTACTTTTGATGTGAGGATCAAATATTGTGAAGCATATACTCTAGCATATAAATTATCAAAAAATGTTTCAGCAGTGTTCATTAATTATAAATGAAATAGATATTTCTTATTTTACGACGACGTTAGTACATGATATCAAAATATTTCAATCACACTTATGCTTGTGTAAAATAGTGGTTTGCTTTCTATATCCATTTATTAGTGAAATAATCACATTATAAGGATATGGAAGTCACGTGAATGAAATAGAGAATATTTTATGCGGAATATATGCTATGCAAAATACGTTTTTAAGGCAGAAAATGTTGCAATATGAGAAGGACTAAAATATTTAAAGTATAACCCAATTAAATCAATACTTTTATATCACATTAGGCATTTAACATCAACTGTATAAATGTTGTTAATGGATGAGTTTTACAGCAAGTGATAATCATTTCGTACGTCCTGAGAGGAGCAAGGATGCATTAAATGCCTTTAAACGGCTTCATCACTTTTATCAGACTGGTAATTATAACACAGCTGAGGAAGAAACGGCTCACTTTCTGAATGTCCAATAATAGAGAGCCGTTTATTTTCTTTCCATCCAAGTTCCATCTTATCATGAACAACAAAATCTCTGACTTCTCCAGAACCGAGACAGGAAACGAAGGAAGAAAATCTCGCCATTCGTCTCCAGCTTGGCACATTCCTGTGAGAAGAGTTTGTATAAATTGTTGGCTTTTCATCCTGGGTTAGGCTTTCTGTTCTCGCTGCCAGTGTTTGTAAGCCGGAATTTTCTCTCTGCGAATGTGAGCATATAGCACAGTCTTCACCGAGACACGGGCAAGAATTTCGTTTTGGTATGCTGTAGGAAGAGGAGGCAGAGAAAATACTTGCATACTGCTGTTGATTTTTGTCGTCGAATTTTCCTCCTGGTTCAATGTTTTGTTGCGCCATTGTCTTTTCAGTAGATGGGACTTTAAAGGCGAAAGTTTTTGGACTGCTTGGGGCAAAACGGAGTTTCTTCTGAGATTCCAGGGATAACCTACGATTTGGATTGAATTTCGAATATTTTGAGTGTCTTAGAGATGATCGAGTTACTGATCGGAGGACATCAGGGGTCTGTATGGAACTGTTATGTTTCTGAACTTTCTTTTTCCGGTACGCTTCTTGACCAACCAACCAGTAAGTAGACATTTCACCTTTTCCCTAAAAGAAGTGAAATACAATACCTATATATTTCAATAGAAAGGAACACACGATTTGAATTCTTAAATGATGAAATGATTATTGAAAAAGCATTCGGGGAGTGTAATAATTACATTTAGAATGCAATCGATTAAAACAATATCTTGGGTGCTGACATCTTGTTCAGACAACAGCAAATCAAAATCTACGTTTATTGACTTGCGCTTGTGACTTCGTTTTTGTCACTGTTATCGTTACACTATATAAAAGCAAAATATAGCACACAAATTTAAATAAACATTGGGATCATATTGAGCTACACTTCTTTATTTCTCAAACTAGAAACTTAAATTATAAATAACTGATGAATTTGAATTTGTATGTTTTAAGAACAGATGATTGGTTTAGCACGTGATAATTCTTTTTTTCTAAAGTATTTAATTTTTTGAATTACTGTTATATGGACATGTTTTAAGGGCTATATTTAAACTATCTCTGGTTTTTGAATAATATTCTTTATTGATATTATATGTCAATTAAGTGTTTCCAGATAATTATATTATAGACACTTTCATGAAGCAGAGACAGCAGGTTTTGAACAGACATGAAGCATTATTGATAAAGTATATTTTGATTGAATACCAAAGCACTAGAGAGGAATGAAACCTTTTTAATAATTTTAATTTATTTTGGGAATAGAAAACTAATTAGTTTAACTACTTTGCTTTTTATTAACCCGACATTAGCTAATTAAGTTTTTATTAGATCATTTCACAATATCAAATTTATTTTCAAGATAACTTTTGAAAGTTTAAGATTGTTCTTTTGAATTTCTTACCTTAATGCTTATGACACCTCTTTCTTCAAATTTATAGCCACCCAGTTTATCCAAGAGTTTCTTACAGATTTCACTACAGTGAATTTTTAGAGCTAAAAGAAATTCAAAATGTAAATATAAATAGCGATAACTTCTAAATGTATACAAATGCCTGAAAATTATCTTACTGAAACATTTAATGTAAATGAAACTGCCACATGTATCTTGAAGGATTTGATAATTATTATGAAGAAAATGCTAAAATGCATCCTGCTAAAATGCCAGCTGATTAATAATGTATGATAATACACAAAATAATTAAGAAAAGGAAACAGATTTTTCCACAATCAAAAATGTTCATCTAGAATCTTAAAGAAGTAAAAGAACGCCTTCATAATAGTATTCCTTTAAAAAGGTCATCTCTATTCAAGTCGCGCATTGTTCTTGAAGACCGAAAGCTTCACAAGGATACTCCGATGTAAAGGTGTCTACACATTTATGAAGATCTATTTTAAGCCTCAAGGAAAGCAACCTTCATTAGTATGCCAACCTCTTTGTGCGGGGAGACCATGCAAATAGGATATCTTTTGCTTGATTCATCAAAATAGAAATTAAATCTAGCTTGCATAATGGTGCTTCTGCTTAAAAGTGCTTTCTTTTTTATAAGATTGCTTTATTTCAAGTTCAAACGAGTGTTCCGTAAGGATGTGGTCGCCTTTAGTGAGGGCACTCTTGTAAAGGTCTTTCAGCTCATTTTGCATAGCGGTGTCGACATTCCTTCTAACAGGACACACTTATGAAGCGTATCCCGAAGAAAATTCTGAATGATAATGTAGTTAAATGAAATTTTTGTGTTCATAACCTTTCTTCAAAAACGAAAATCAGATAATGCGTATCAGAATGATCAAAGTCTAATTTTTAAAGAATCCTGAAAAGCGAATACAGTAAAATCCGAAAAACATAATTTTTTTTAAAAGGCGTTTGAAATATTTATCTGTAAAATATTTTGCTTAGGATATTTTTGATGCTGGAGACATGAAAAATGAGCCATACCCTCGCCTGGACTCGAAAATAACGACGTCTCAAATATAAAAAGACGGCTTCCACTCTTTGTAACTTGACTACATCTTGCTACGGAAAAAAGCTTTACTCAGAAGGAACCATCCTAGGTTCAAGTCATAGTCAAACGAAGAAAATTAAAATAAAATAAGCTTCTGGGTGAAATTGGCAATAAAGAAAGAATATAGGACATCTGACAAATCTAAATTATAAATATCTTTTATAACTAAATAACCAAATCTTAACTGTGATCGAAGAAAATGTGTTTAATACTTTGTAGGGATTCTTTTTTTAAGTGTGAAATATGAACATGCGTCTAATCCTTCACCGGGACACGAAAGACGGACTTTCCAATGTGCTGATCTTTTACACCACGACAGCACTGGTGCAGAAATGCTAAAATTCTTTACAATTCTTGAAAAGAATCCAAAAAAAGGGGTTACAAACGATTCATTTATCAACTATTTCGCTGTTTATGGATTCAGCTCAAATAAGGAAATGACTTTTCATAAATACAAGCGAATTCAGACTGATATTTCCATTATAACATATTTGTTGAAAAAATTATAAACTGTGGTAAAATACAACGATTATGTCTTACATACTCATGAAGTACTGAATAAGTCTTTTTGGGGAAACGTGTCGTTTATTTAAAATATCTATGCAGGATGCTTTAAATTAAAGGATCAGTGGGGGATTTAAAGGACATATCAGTATGGGTTTATAGAAGTTGTTGATTGGGAGAATTTTAAAATCCAAGCTGAAAAATATGTATGCGACCAGTTTCACAAATACTGTATATTAAATTAAAGAAACAGAGGGTCTGAAAACAAAAATTCAAACTGATAGTACCGAATTAATGAATAAATCAGTTACTGGTAAGAAATTTTAAAGAAAAGAAGTTTCAGTAATAAAAACGTTAATTAGTTTTTGATTTTCCTTATGAGGTTCTAATGAAATAATTGGCTCCTCCAGTAACGGAATTTATGAATGACAAGAGAGTCATTTGTTCTGCTCTATCTTCTTTTGTCTAATAAAAGCAAAAAACATAAAAATTGGAAAAAGAGCCTGGGACCATACAAATTGTTTTTGGCGGCAGATATGTGCAAGACAACAATGTTTAAGAAGCAAGTTCTTTTTCTTTTACTCTTTTTTATTAACTGCTGGATATAAATCATTGGAATTGACCAAAGTTTCAGAGGAGTTGTTCCCGATTTGAAAGTAAATGTCTTAAACTGCCGAGTCAGTCTCACAACAATACCAACAACGTGTCAGAAATTTATTAGAGTAAAAGTCTGTATTAAAGAAATTAATCATCGTGCCGAATATGCAATGTGTCCTGTTCACTCTTAAAATCTCTTTGGACACCGTGCAGCTTCGAGTTATAGTGAGGCAACATACATTTTTTAAAAAAATTTGTTACAAAGAGTGGTATGGTAATTTTATTTCTTTCAATCACTGACAGCGAAACATATAGATAGTGCTTAACAGAAATTGAACTATTAAAAACTTACTGATAATTCGCTGGTCTTCAAAAGATGATGTTTATCGAAGATTATCATGGAAACAGGTAATCAATTTCTAAGGCACCGAAAATGAATACATTGAAGAAAACATAAAAAGGAACCGAACAAAAAGATTATAGTACAGTTTAGAACGGTTGAAAACAATATTGATGACAGTTTTCTCAGACACTCTGTTGAAAAAGGTTGAAACGTTGTGGAAAATGTATAAACTAGAAACACGAACAACTCCACCATACGGGAACCATGTAAATTTCACACTGATTACTTAAATGTACAAGCTATAATTTTGACCAATTCCAAAGGAAAGCAAAAATTGCAAAGTATATAAAATTTCGTAAAATGGGAAAATAATAATTAAAAAAAAAATTCCGACTTAAATCATAAAGTGATCAATAAAGTGTTCAGATTAAATTTTTTAATCTGAACTGAATTTTTGAATGTTTTTCAAATCTGAATCTGGCGGATTCTGAGATCAAGTCTTGCTGTTAAGGATTTACCAAATTCTCATAATTAAGATGACATATGCCGAATTTTAACTTTACGAATAACTAAAAATATTAACTCACGCAATCCAGTAGATTCCATTCTTGAAGCTGTATTCACCGTATCTCCAAATAGGCAGTACCTCGGCATCTTTTGACCAACTACTCCAGCACAGACAGCTCCTGCGGATGACATGCTATTATTATATTAGATTAAAAGCATTAAATTTCATTGAAACTACTTACCTTATTGTATATATAAATGCATATATATATACATGCATGAATTTCAAATACATTATGGATTCATAAGCATACCACGTTTTACATGCTTCTGAAATAGCAGAGGTAAACTACAAGATATAAATTTACTTTAAGACTCTTTAACAACATTTTAAGACAATATTTTATGACATAATATTTAATTTCTTAAAACCGGTAATGTTATAAAAATGATACTATAACCTTAATGAGCGTTATATGTCAGATTCCCCCCCCAAATATGAAAACTATTTAGATAGGAACTAATTATTGAAAACAGAACTGGGCTGGAGAGCTTAGTTAGCTGATAGCACAGTTTTAACAAAAGATTCTCATGAATTTCAAATACATACTTAGATCTAAAATGGCTATTTGTTTCCGTATTTGTCACTAAGTCATGTTAAATTCAGTTGTTTGATGGAGTTTCTTCTTGACAGTAAGTAATTCTCGTTCACAAAATTGTCTATTGGATATTCTGATTATAGCAGAAACTCTGCTGTGTTTTCATAGCTGCCCTACACTTTCTTATAAAGTCATGAAGGAATATTGCATTTTAATTTAATCCGTAGTAGTCATACTATTAATAGTCTATAAGCAGTTAAAGAAATATCTGTAACGATTTCAAAAATTCATGAAAATCAGAAAAACGAATATAACACGTGCAACATAGTGCGGTTTTTCGCAGAAGAAATCGCAAAGTGGTCGAAGTTTGAGTACTCTTCTGTTGTAAGAACCGGAATCCGAAAGTATATATGTATGCACATGTGTATGTATGTATGTGCTTATACATGTGTGTATACATATACATTCATGTGTACTTATATATACATGCATTTGACTACATGAACATACACATCCGTATGCATCCATACATACATTTCTGAAACCGGTCCTCACAACAAAACAGTAACGAAGTTCTCTCGAATAAATACCTAGTTCCGAGTTTCATCGACAGGTGGCGCTGAGTCATACGAACCATTAAAATACCATATTTACTCATATATTCCTTCTTTTTACTAGCTTTATACCTCTACAATACGCAATATGGAATAATACAAGCAATACCGAATAGTGTTTCTCAGATACGCATTCAAAACCTGTTTGAGTCAATGCCCACGATGAATATGAGCTTTTATTGCAACGCTAGCTTTTAATATTTTTGTAGTTCTCTGTAAAATTATACTTTCTTTCTATCACTGTATTTAGTAAGTAGAAAAATTTCATTCACTTCTGAAGAATGCTTTATGGTGCTGAAACTTTCAAAAAGCTAAGTTATTTCTGAGAGATGTGCAACAGTTTATCGTTTATCATTACTTAATGTAGATAAATAAAACGAAAGCATTTCATCTGCTTTAATAGTATTTCAATATTTAATAACATTGATATTTAGTTTTTGGAGCGTAATTATGTACTATTTCGACTTCTTGTAATGGATTTTAATTCATATTTTAATCCAAAGCATTGATTGAAATTCTTATTATTTGTGACAAGCTGAATTCTGTAACACTGTTTACGTTTAAAAGAGTTTAATTTAATTCCTTTCATACATATATTTTACGAAACCTCTTAAACTTATAACGCAGGATTTTCCCTTAAAAAGTAAACTTATTTTCAATGCGTGCTAAAATGCTAAAATATTTTTAAAAAATTAATTTCGATGTTGTATTTGGTAGCAAATTTTTAAATGTGTAACCAATATTAAAGTTTCGGTACTATGCAACAAGAAAAAATGAGAAGGGGGTTATTCAAATATAATTTAAACTCTTATCACTTTGTATAGAATTAAACTGAATAACACAGAGCCACACATTTTTTGTGTTGTATAATCAGTTTATTTCATATCTTAACTTTTTCATGAAGAATGATGATGTGTTGAAGAATGATGATATGTTGAAGAATGATGATATGTAGAGAATTTGTCCATGTGATTCCAAATTTAATGCAGTGTGAAGTTTACTTACCTTCCTTTTTGTTTCATCATCAACAAAACGTTGTTGAAATATCGTTAAAATAGGAGCTTAAAAGCAAAGATTATTATTTTTGGATTCCTGAGTTATCATGGAAAAAATCTCTTTAAGAGTTTCATCAAATTATTAAAGAGATTTTATTTTGTTTCACAGAATAATCCATCATTTTGCGAATACGCATTAGAATATCACTTTCACTTAATTTCGTGAGCATTCGCTTCAAAAATCTTGCATAAATGGATCTTAAGGCACGTTTCGCAGGACATAAAGTGGAAAACATGTCTGGTAAAATATCTCATTATCTTAGTGGAAGAATTTTAAATTAAAATCTGTAAAATAAATCTTTAGAGTTTCTGAGCTATATTAAAATGAAATAAGCTGTAGAATTTTATTAATATCGCTTTTAAAATGCAGCCGAGGAATAAACAGCCTCACTTCAAAGCCAATCTTTTTTAATTAGAAGTATGTCTCACCTAAAATAACGAATGAAAGAACAAACTGCAGATATTTTCGGTTTTCCTGAAATCTCATAAGCTTTAGTGTGTCAATACAGTTTCAGTGTGCTTATAAGATACCAATTAAGAGGTACCTTTCAAGATAATCTCAGTTAAGGTAACTTAGATGAAAGTTAGAAAAATATCTTCAGAATTATTAAACTCTTTGCAAATGCAATGATATTTAGAATTTTAGAATTCAGATTTTAAAATGAAACCGAAACTTAAATTCACTCCAGCTATAAAAGTTATAATTAATTTTATAACTGACCCTTGTACAAAATTAATCACTACTTTTAGTGCATATTTTTAATTATGTATTTAGAATATGTATTTAATTAGAATACTCAATTCATTATTTAGTGATAGTATAAGGTATGCCTCCCGCCGTCTTAGCATGCCTTCATAGTGTAGTGGTCAGCACGCTCGGCGCGTATTCGAGAGGTCCGTGGTTCGATTCCCGGCGAAGGTGTTGCTCATTTTTCACATCTCCTGCTTCCAAATAACCTAATGTCTCTACAATATTAAATTGAACAATAAACTGCAGACTTCTTCATGTTCCTTAGAGAATACGTTTAAACATGTTTGATCGTTTTGAAGTGCTTTGAAAGGTAATAAGTCAGTCAGTTTGAATGATAATTTTGAAAGATAATAAATCAGAAGTATGTATGAGGACGTAATCGTACGTAATAACGTATCTTTATAAAAAGAGACAAATAAAAATTTCATATTTTGTCTATATATTTCTGGCGTTGAATATATATTTTTAGAAAAAAGAATGTAAACAGGAAAGAACTGCTGTTCAACTATAACAGTATGCTAATTTTTTGTTATGACGCTATTGGAAATTAGCCAACTGCATATATTATTTGTCCGACGAAATTCAAAAACAGAATGAAAATGATCTCAATTTACGAATTGTTATTACCCGATTTTAGGCTTTGAATCTTGTTTAATATTAATCACTATAGCTTTTAGCTCAGAAAATGGTATTTCAATTTACTCCTGACGGTTTATTTGTGGCTGCTATAAAATTCTACAACAAATATGGTGTAAAAAATTTATAACACTTTGGACTCAACTTATTCAACTCTCGTGATTCTTTAAAGAAAATGTTAAGCAGCTTATGTTACCGTTTCCGGCGTTTTTTGGTTATTAGCATGAACAAATATTTAAGAGTCTATTAAGAGTAATTAAAGAACTTTTATTTGCGGAAGTACCTGTACTTTTTAATTCATTTGCTTGAACGTACAAAAAGAACATATCATATATACAATTATTTATGCAATGCCTGCACTTTAATTTTCAGAAATGAACTACTAAAAAAAATACCACTGCTGATCCTTGCAATCGCCGCCAAAGCACTTAATATTCTGCTTTTAAATGTATTAAAATGTATTTTAGAGTAAAATGTAAGCAGTAAAATCAGGTTTAAGGAATATGTTTAAATATTTTTATAAAAATGTTGCTGAGTACTTGCGTCTGCTGCTCAGTTCGATGTAAATAACCCGAAACTGCTTTCGTATGTGAGCAAGAATTAAAATTTGTTGTATAAAGCATTTAATGATCAGTATTTTCATTTTACACACGTTTTGTTTTTATAAGCTTTCAGTTATTGAATAAGTGCAATCAAGAATATATTGACTGAATATCCCGTGTAATACCTGCACTTGGATATTTGCATTTAAATTTTACACAGTCAAATTTGTGTTGAAATTTTCGGATAAATGCACGATTACATATGGTGCAGTGAAAAAAATTGGTTTGATTTAGTTTTCCTCATAAGCAAATTCCTCTTCTAACACGTATTAAAATGTTTCCTTCAGTAAATTTTTATTTCCGAATTTCATTTGTTGTACAGGGTACACAATGTAGCGCGTAGGTTAATGAAAATTGTTTCCATTTTTTCGTTACTGCGTGCATTTTGCACGAATGCAGCAAAAACATTAAGATTGAAAATCAAAAAAATACAAATTGAATGCTACAATTTTCTTCCTTCATGCATTTCAACAACGAACGAAATACTCTTGCCTTTCAGAACTATATAGTAGAAGCGAAATATTTCTATTCATCTTATTTATAAAGTATTGTTTATGTTTACTCGGTTTGCCTTATACAAATGAACGACAAATCCTTGGCAGTTTCAGTTTAAATAGGGAATTTAAAGCAGTTTTAAAGCACAGGGATTGTCAATGTTAGTGATATACATAACACTGTGATACAGTAACATTCAAGCTACACATTTACTAGCAGCTGCCTTGAAGACGTTTGGTTAATTATTATATGTCTGTTTATAGTTTAGCTCTAGTCAGATATAAATTGTAATGGTTCCAAATATTGTACCTATATATTTCTTACCATCTTCTTGTGATTTAATATTTTTGTTTATTTGAACCCCGAAAGTGAAAGATGGACAGTTTCATGAAGTTTTGAGGTTTATTGTAAAATGTACGAAGGCGAATAGAGTTTTAGTTGAGTTTCATTTTTGTGTTTGCTAACTGAAGTTCAGTATGCCAAATTTGATTAAAATGAATGTTAGCTTTATTTCATATTCTGCATTTAAAGTTTTTAAACTATCCTTTTGTTGTTATGTTGTTGCTAATATTCACTTGTCTGACCTATAATCAGCCCCTGCCCATGAAATTCTTCATGGCAAGGAGCGCAAGTTTATGCCTGTCATTGGCAACAGCCTTGAGCACCTTACATGTGACACAGCGATTTAGCTCAGTTCCGCCCCCAATTTTGATGGACAGCACTCCGGGGTACGGGTAAGAGGGTCTCCCACTCTTCTTCCCATACCATCAACCTCTCGAGAGAACTTTCGGCTCGGCGCATATTTCGAGTGCCCCCATGACGCATGGACAGTATACATTTACAAACATCTATGCCTTCCTCTCCAGGATTCGAATCTGGGCTCTTAGGCAGGGCAGTCAGTGACGCTGACTACTGTACCGGCTGGCCGGCACGTATTCTTTTTGTAAGGGCGATATATAATATCAATAAGAAAACAAGATTGGCGATTTACCTGAATGTATTCCAATTCTAAGCATCAATGTATCATTTGGCCGATGACGTATGGTAAACTTCTTTATAGCCTCGAGCAGGTGGAGAGCCATAGATGCAATCTCAGCTGCATGGTTGTCACCATTTTTAATGGGAAGTCCACTCACAACCATATAGGCGTCTCCAATGGTTTCCACTTTATACACATCATAATTCTCGATGATTGAATCAAAACAAGTGTACAAGTCATTCAAAAAATCCACCACCTGTATATGTAAATGAAATAAAACTGAATATAGAACAAATGGAAATACATTTTAAAGTTATGTAAAATAAGCTCAAGGAAACTCTGAGCATAATGAAAAATTTGCAAATTGTGGTGACTTAAGTAAGCATCTACTTAGCAGAAAATGTTTGAGAAGAAAATTTATTTAAAAATACAAACAAAATATAAGTTTGGAAACTCGATACACTTTAGAGTAAAAATTATATTTCATTCTGTGAGCAAATACATCAGAAGCTTTAAGAAAACTTCAAATGTTGCTGATTGTCGTGCTTATTATAAAACCATTACAGATGCATTGCATTCATTTATATTCATAACCTCTAAGTTTTCTAATATTTGATTTATTAATATTGATATCTTTCTTCTATTATTCATCTGCAATTACATTTTTGTTAAATTTGAAATATGTAAAAATTAATTGATATTTTATACGTTTTTTTACAGCACAGAACAAATTAGAAATCTAAAGTAATCATTTCTGAGCCTTATGATAGATTTTCCCTTTTTATGACTGCTTTTATATTACGTATAGCGGTGTTTATATGTTTGGTATTACTGTGAATTTGCTGCTATTTATTTAATTTTCGAATTATTGATTGCAATATTGTGTATATTTTTGGGTACGGTTTTGTAACTTCTTAGTGGAAGACACTTAATGCACATGCTTTTTTTTACTACTATATTATATAATTAATTCTGTGTAAGTACCTATTGGAATTTCAGAAATATCGCAACGGAAATCGAAGATATAAGCTGCTGACCTCGCAGACTTGAAAGCGAAATTTTATCGCCAGTAGTGGCATTTAGATATATCACACGAACTTCGTACCATTAAAAAATGTCAATATTTTTTTAAACTTCAAGATTAAATTTTTGTAAAATGTTCTGGTAGTTCCATCCTTCATTGACGTATATTAGGAGGCTGCTAAGAGTCGTCAACCAGGTGAGAGTTTAGATTAGCTTGTTTGCTAAGTGCTTTGCATTAACTAATCAATAAATTAAAATTTTGTCCTTTGAGTGATTTAGCAATTCAGTGAAGTATTTAAAAGTCTTGCTCTTTGAATGATTTAGCAGTTCATTAATGATTTAGCACAACAGTGTTCTTTGGTCGATTTAGTAGTTCTGTAGTGGATTTTAAAGCATTGTTCTTTGGGAGATTTAGTAATATTTTTGCTAATTTACGACTTTGTTCATTGAACGATTTAGCAGTTCTGTAAGCGTGAAATAAGGAAATAAGTGAAATAAGGGATTACATTTTTTCTTTTTATCTGGCCTGTTTATTCAAAGACCTTTAAAAACTATAATTTTTTACACTACATGGAGGACTCTAACCATCGTACAAAAAATAATAAATACTTCACCTAATTTAGGAATACAGTAATATTCTATGAAAACTTAATTATGTCGTTACTTTATAGTTCAAATACTAATTTAATAATACTAGAATGAAACGTAGTATCAATAAAGTAGTATTTGGCATTTAAAACAAATTAGTCACTTGGTCAAAATTACCTGTAAGGGACTGCTCTGTGCAGACATAGTAGTGAAACCCACTATGTCACTGAAATAAATAGTTACGCAATCGAATGACTCAGCCTCAACTTTGTTGCCTTTCTTAAGCTGGTCTGCTACGTATCTGGAAAAATAAAACATCATGATTTAAAATGATATTTTTAGAATGCTACAAACATTTTAGAAATCGGAAAAGAATTCGTAGACTTGCGGATCATAGAAATATCTATAGGATTTCATTCATACCATTTTATTATATTTACTTATTAAAGTTACACGAAAACCATTTTCATTTATATTTTAAAACATTTCTAAAAATTTTCGGATTATTTCACTATGATAATGTTGCAATGATTGATTGAGCGTATTATAATTATAATTCGGCGCATGCATCAATATTTAAAAATAACTTGCCCCACAAAACATAATATTTAATGGCATTTAATTTCATTGATATATTTAGTATGAAGTTTATTTTTAAATATCCAAACAAAAATAAAAATTTTCTTCTCTACTTTGATGCTTTGAAGCGAAACAAGAGTAAATTCCTTTCAAGAGTAAAATAAATTCAACAGGAAGCCTTGAAGTAAGTGCCTACCCTAAATTCGTCGTTTTGGTGAACATTTTCGAAAATATTTTATTTATTCATTTTACAGGCCATACATTTAGGTTTCCAAAAATGCTTTATTTTTGTTTTAAGATAACTAGAAGCAAAGTTATAGTATAAAAAAAAATAAACCGGAAGTGAATTTTGGATGCCGGAAGTTGGCATTTAAATGGTCGTAAAAATGTAAACAATAAGTTTAATCCATTAACCGCCAAAACTACAAGAGATGTTTCTTTTCTTATGAAAATAATAACAAATATTAAATTAAGCATTTATAACATAAATTTACATTGAAAATTTAAAAAATGCTCTTACCTGCGGAAAAAGCGAGTGTTGCGTTCGCGCAACGTCAGCGGAATAAGACTACTAGTGAGTAGGATTGTACTCGTGTGATGTTTCTTTTGAGTGGAGCGCAGGATTACTTTTTAGCTGTATAACGTTTTATAAATCTACAAATCACTTTACTTGTAATTAATTTAATATTAAAATATACGTTGTATTTCTTTTACAAATACAGATTATTTCATTTCAAAGATTCAAACATGAAAAGCTTGATTACAATCATGATGTAAAGCTACATTACATAGTTTGCATCTATAAACAGTCTGGCTATGCTACTCTTTACAACACTTCTGTTATCAACGGACTTTACGATAAAATGTCTACCATTTCCATGCAATGGTTTTTGAATGCTGAATTTACTAGGTCTTCCTGTTGCTGATCTATTTCTGACTAATTCTACACTCATAAAAGTTTGCAAAAGGAATAAAGCATTCTCGCGTTTGAAATCTAAAAGAGACTTTATATTTTCAGTAGTAAAAAGTGGTGATATTTAGTAAGTTTAGTGACGGTCTCACCTCATATAATTTATCAGTATTGTCAATTTGACTATTGTCAAATGCAAATTCTGCTTCATATTCCTGTACTGCAAACGTGATATCAATTCTCGTGCAACAGCGACAGAAATGTCCTTATCAAAAGACCAATACATTTTTTCTTGAGGTAAAGAATGATATCCTGTAAGCAATGATATTCCAATAAATTTTCTCATATGGGCTTCAGATGCAATAAATTCTGGGCATTCTTTTTCTTTTTTTTTTTTTTTTCCCTGAGAGTATATATTTGTCCGTTCAACGAGAAGAGAGTAAATGTCTAAACCAAAAAGAAAATCGAAAATCTGTGCACTAGTTTTACCTTGTGTTTTGTCTTTTATAATTTCTCTTCTATCTTTTTCTTCACGTTCGTCCTGAGACATAACTAACAGTTCCTTTTTTATCCGCTTCAAGATTTCAGTCTTCTGCTTTTTAAATTTTTTAGTATGACTATAACTGCTTTTAGAAGGCTGAACTTGAAACCTTACTTCTTACGTGAATTTCAACTTCCGCAGCAGTATCATTTGGTAAAATATTATCATCATTATTTAAAACATTGTCATTCCCTTTCTTCTTCGTCACTAGCCTCTGCAATTTCTGGGGGAACAACAACAATATCAGTTTCATTCTGGTCATTATTAACATGATCATCATCTCTTTTTTCATCAAAAAATCTTTGAAGGGCTTCTTCTAATGTAAGATACCTCGTTCTAGGCATTTTTAAGTAACCAGAACATGAACCAGAACATCGAAAGGAATGAGTGAAAAAGCAGATTGAATACCCGTTTCCTGCTGACGTTGCGTCAACGCAACACCTGTTTTCCTTTCCTTCCCAACACAAATATAAACATCTGACCGATGTAATGTTCTGATAAACGGTGACCTTGACTACAAATAGATCACTCATAAAGACGGTGATTCTTTCCTTAAATATTTTCAGCAAAAACACCCGGTTGAAAGTTTTGCTTAAATTTTGCTTAAAGTATGAGATTAATTATTATAAACAAAATGATTGTTGAAGGCAAATATTTTTTTACAGAAATAATCTTCATAATATTCCCTACACAAAATGCAGTTCCTTTTTTATTTTTTTATACTATACCTGCTGGTATAAAATATCTTAGGTAGTTATATTTATATACGCATTTATTTTGACCGTTGCGTCAACGCAACACTAGCGGCTAATGGGTTAAACAACTACTTTCTAATTATTAAACAATATAAGAGCTGTAAAAGCAACACATCTTTCACTGTGTGACAAGTTTCTGATAAAATGCGTACATGGGAAGACTCAAAACAATAACGTTTTAAATAACCTTTTGAGGACTATTTTATCTAAAGAAACTTTTGTCCAACTGAAAACATTGCTTTCAAGTGCACACATTGCTGTATTATTATTTAATTTAAGATATTTAGAACTTTTATCTATTTTCAGGTATATAGAAATAGAAATGAATCCCATTATGCTTGAAAGCTACATGGAAATAGCCAAACAGCGAATTCAGAAATCGAAACACCAATCTCTACAAGCAACACAGTTATCCAGAAAAGTGCTAAAAGAAAGTCAAAATTAGTTAAGAATGAAGTAAAAAAGGCCCTAACATACAAATACGGCGAGTTTTAAAGACCTAAAGTGGCTACAAATTTTTTTTTGTGCTGTATTAAAATCTTTAAATGCATTTTCTGAGGAATTGTGTTTTTCGTTACTTTTGATTGCGATTACGTAAATTTCTCAAAGTGTATTCAGAATACTGAAATGAAATTTTGCCAAAATGTTTTATTCATCTTTAGCTGTACTCTGTAGCAAAATCTGACCTCTTTGTATTTATTTATTTATTTTATTGACAGTATTTTGAAGAAAAGAGGATTTTTTTTTGTTTTAATTTTGAGTTTTTGTTTAGAATTGATTTGAGAAGTTTAGAATATTTCAAAAAATTTTATAAGTACAGCAAATCTTTTGCTACAGAACACAAGTAAGTATGTTATTTATATACTGTGGAAAGATTATTGAAGTATATTCATTAGAATCTCTTACAGGAGATCTGGCGTATATGAAAATTTTCACTAAAATTTTACTAAATATTGCATATATTTAAAAAAATTAATGAAATGTTCCATAAAATACCATTTAAATTCATAGTTTTATATCCCATCTTACTCAAAAACATGTGTGTTTAATTAAAATTTTATGTATTTAAAAAAAAGTGCTTCGTATGTAGGCACATATCTTAAGAACAAGAAAAAAATAATTAAAATCATTTTATACGTATTAAACCTAAAGGGCGTTGAAAACGTATTACGCTATTAAGGGAAAAATAAAGACGCAAATTCCATTTTAATAATTGGAGAGTTTAAAATACTTTATTTAGCTCTAAAAAAGGAAGAAAACAGTTCTAAAATACTAGAATACTTTTTCAGACTTTCTTGTTATTTGAAAGAAATGAAATAACATTAGCACTTTTGTAAAATTAAGCAAAAGGGAAAAATTACAAAACTTTTAATTTCCTCATCCGTTTATACTTTTCGGAGAAATGGAATGCAAGCAAAAGTTTTTAGATAAGATTAAGGAACATGCTTGTGGAGCAACGGAAAATAGTTTTACCTTAAAGTAAAAGAAGTCCAAATTTTTATACCAATCCTGTTATTCATAAAATATAGAAAAAGTTATATAAATGACAGATGGAAACTTTCAAGCACATTATATAATTCTTAGCTGTATACTTAAAAAGTGCTTTGCATTCAAACTGGTAGCTCTTAAATAAAGATATATGAAGTATATTTCATTTAAATTCCTTTACTTATTTTATTTATTTATTTTTTAATAAAAGAATGAAATAACCTAAGAAATTATTCAACTTCCATAACAACGTTAAATAAAAATTCCGTTTTCATATTCGCACTTATAAAGTATAATTCGAAGTACTTTAATACGAAGGAGTTTTATCCATAGAAATTACTTTTTGTTTAATCGTTTGTTATGTCACGAATTTAAATTATATTAATGTTTGTTTTGATTTGTCACTGTTCTAGTTTTTTTATTTGTACTTATGTATATTTTAATCTGGTAAAAAGAGTATTCTTTAATTGTTAAAGCTTTATTTAGCTGGTAGTTCTTGAAACTGTAGTGTAACAAAGACAGGGGACACTTAGTTTATGTCCTAACTCCTTTTGCTAATGGCGCTAAAACGAAAATCGGCTTTCTCATTCCAACTTGCTTTCGTTTTGTTATATTTGCAATGTTTACTTCAAGACAGTGGGGGTTGTTGTAAGCTAAGGTAATTGGATTTCTCTTATCGCTTAGTTTCTGCTTGTTAGCTGGGGGTCCACTTTACTTTCCACGTTCAGAGTACAGATGATCAGGACTGCATTGTTCGGATTGATTCGTTATTTTGATTCGTTGTGGGGGTGTAATTTTCTCAGTTAAAGAAAAAGTAACATACTAGGATTGGTGAGATTTAACTTTATTATTTTTTTGGTAAGCCTATGAAATTTTCAGGGCCAAAGAGACGAGTTTACTTCGAAGCCTGCATTATGTTAGAAGTTAGTCTTTAGTCTTAGTCTTGAGTATTCATTCGGATTCTGACTTTGAGCAAAAAGAAAATGGAGAAGCAGAAAGCGGCGGCGGGGCTTCCCCTTCGAGGGGCG